TACATATATATATATATATATATAAATGTCTTTACTTGTGGGACCTTTGAAAGTACAAAAGACATTATGCACTTTACCACAGGATCCCATGCAGGTTAACAAAGATGTGTAGGAACCTTATAGACAGAGCTTGAAATTTCCGGAGACAGGACCTTGAATTTGGAAACACCTTCTTTTTCTCTGTCTTTCTGTCTGTGTCTTTCTTCCCCTCCCCACCCACACCCCACACCCCCACTTCACACACACACACACCCGGTGCATCAGCCCATTGCAAAGCTCAATTGTAATTGTTTCCTTTAAAAGGCAGAGATGGGTTCTGCTCGCTTGCAGAATAAGTCGCTTCTTTGCTGTACAACGTGTTTAAAAAAAAAAAAAAAAAAAAAAAAAAAAAAAGGACAATACAAAGGAAGGTTCGCCTGAGGAAAGGAATAAAAAAAAAAAAAAAAAAAAGAAAAAAAAGGTTAAAAATGGTCCAACTCCTCCTCTCCCATTTCAAACGGAGGGCTACCCGGGAGCCGCACAAATATCCATCCAACTCGTTTTAATCGTGTTCAGAAAGTAGCTAATTGCTATTCAAATGTGTGCGGAGAAGGGTTTGCTAAACTCCTCTTTTTTCCTTCTTTTTTTTTTTTTTTCTCCCAGAGAAAGTGTTTCCAAGTTATAAAATATACAGTCCAATTCTGAAGTGTAAGGCTTTCAAATTGAAATCATTGATAAATTTACTCCCTTTATATGTGCTTGAATGTGCTTGATGAGATGCTGCTTTGGTGTTTTACTACATATGGGAGGATAATTTCTGGACATGTAAATAAAAGCATATTGCATGTGGAGAAAAGCATAATATCTCGTTGTAGATGATGAATCGCCTAGTGCAGAAGCAACTTATTCTTTATTTTAATATAAATAGGATCAAAAAAATATTCCTTGATTTGTCTATTCTATCTATCCATCTATCTATCTACTTACCCATATACTAAAATAGCAGATATATGCACTATATAATATGTATATTTAATCACTGTGCCTGCACATATATATGGTAAATGTATAAATACATGAGCAAACATGTATTTATATACCCTCTTATATAAATTGACCAGGTTTGTATGTACACATACATATGTAACATGTAGCATATACGTGCCTACATATGTAGGAATATAGAGAATTTACATATGTAAATGTGTCAATTTATATTTGTCTGTACACGGGAAAAGTTATGTTTTCGGTGATATATGTGTGTATGTGTGTGTAAATGTATGTCTGCATATGTGCAACTGTGTATATGTATACATCTCTATATGCCTACATAGAAGTCCAAGTCTCTATATGTGTATATGTATATATCTAGTCACATATATGTCTGTAGATATATGTAACGATGTAACAGATAATGTTCTTTACTATCCGATTGAGCTAGAGTTCTGCAGCCTATTGTTTCAGACAACAGATATAAGTTGCGATGGAAGAGGAACGTCGGATTTGGTGTCTGTCCCCCATTTCCAATTATAGATGGATCATTACAGACAGAGAAGTACTGAGAATCCAGACATCTGCTCTTCACATGAATGCACTCACCTCCTAGAGAACAGCCTGCCATCATGCTCTGGAAACTGGTTGAAAATGTCAAGTATGAAGATATCTATGAGGTGAGTATATAATACGCATATAAGTAAGAGAGCATATGTATATTTAAACATATATATAGTATATAGATACAGGCATGTCTATATAATACACGTATAGCTATATATATACATACAGGCAGAAACAGAGACGCACACACCAACACACACAAGTATAGAGACGGGAAACCAAGAGTAAATGCTTAAATGCTTATTTATTTGCATCTTTGTATTCAGCATGCCAAGTCTTAAACTTTTTTTTTTTTTTCATGGAAAAGCTGTTTGATGCGATTTAAAACATCAAAGAAATGATCTGGAGGTTGGGATGAGGCAACTTATAGGCAAGAGTTTGGTTGTTTATACCTCCAATTAAATATAATTCGATTAAATATGGACATATGTCTAGGAAAAAAAAAAAGCTGAAAATAGAAGAGAAACACAATCTGGTGTTCAGGGACCAGATACATTTCTTTCTTTTATTTCTTTGTTTAATTTTTTAATTTTGCAATTCCAAGCTGGGCTAAAATTGATTTATGATTTTTTTCTTTTTCTTCTTTTCACAATCGGATGTGTCTTTTACGACTTTTTATACGTATATACCAATAGCTAAGATGTGCATGGATACATATATTCGCGCTCATTAAGTGGCACATACATTCTTTCACGTCTTTGAGTACACGCACCCGAACTGATACATTCAAAGGCAGCTCTGCATAGTCCGCGGACATAAAAAGTTGTGTGCTTTAGTCAGACTTCTTCGCTATTTTCGAGGCCAAATAGCAAAGCAGAGGGGGTGGAGGGGTGGGGGCGCCGAAACCAAGGAGCAAACACGGCGAAACCTTCCTTAATTTTGCACAGTTTCCTGAGCCGGATCTTTACTAAACGGGCTCCGCCAATGCATTTCTTGTAAGTTAACCAGAGGGCTGGATTTGCTCCAAATCTGGGGAAAAAAAACGACGTGTAAGGGAAGGCGCTCCGCAAAATTATATTTTAATTTTTTTATTTTTAATTTTGTTTTTAATCTGGCAGAGGCGTTTGCACGGCGATCGCGGGGTGGGGGGGCGGGGGGGAAGATTCTCAGAAGAGCGCAATCCGCTATCTCCAGCACGGAGGCTGCTCCGCGGGGAGGTGGCCGGGCAAGGATCGGGGACAGGGCAGAGTCCAGATTCCGGGCAGAGACCGGCTACTGGGCAGAGGCAGGGCAGGGACCGAGGACAGGGCAGTAGCAGGGACCGAGCAGGGCCGAAGCCCGTTACCAGGCTGCGAATTGGGCAGGCTCGTTACCGAGCAGGGGACAGGGACGGGGCAGGGTGGAAGCCGAATACCGGCCTGGGCGTCGGGCAAGAACAGTGGACCAGGCAGGAGCCGGTGACAGGGAAGCGGTCAGTTACAAGGCTGTGTACCATGAGGGGGCTGGGCAGGAACCGAGGACCGGGCACGAGCCAGGGACGGGGCAGAGCATGGGACCTGCAGGGAGCACGCCCGGTGTAGCGCCGTCGGGGCCCCGCCGGCCCCATCCCGTCGCTCCGCCGCAGCTCTCCCATCCGGGAGCTCGCTCACACAGCGGGGAAACTCACGGGCAAAGCAGAGAAAGAGGCAGAGGGAGGGCATGGTTCCCACAGCAGCAGCCAGGCAAGGAGGACGGGACGGAGGGGAGCGGGAGAGCGGCAGCCTGCCGCACCGGAGAAACGTTTCCATTCCCAAAAGCTGCCGTCAGGCTAATTGTCAACTGGCAAATCCCAGCATATGCAGAATGAGCACAGCCCGGCATGTGTAATGTCCTTGTGTGTGTGCGTGTGTCCGTTTCGCCGGCAATCACAGTCCGCTGAGCCCTCTCTTCTTTTCCCTCCCCATCTCCCGGCACAGCCCGGCCATTGTCTCTGCCTGCCCACAGCACCAAGCGACAAAACCTCTCCCCTTCCCTGCTTCGCCGGGGTTTTATTTCTCACCCTCCTTTGGAAGGGGATTTTGAAGCCTCTGTGCATTTTTACGGACACTCTTATTTCTAGACTGCCGTGGGAGAGAAGCTGAGCTGGGGAGCGGTTGGGTGGGATTTGGCTGTGGGCAGGGTATACCCGGACTTGGAGTGCGCCCTAAGACATTTTGTAACATGTAGCATTAAAAAGTAAAGACAAAATATTGTTTGGGGTTGTTTTTTTGTTTGTTTTTTTTTTTTTTTGGGGGGGGGGGTTGGTGGTTTGGTTTTTTTTTAGAGCTGAAGCCCTCTAGATCTATCTTTTTTAAAGAAAAAAAATGTTTCTTTTCTTTCCCATTAAATTGTTGCTTTCTCTTCTTTACAATTTATAATTAAAGTAGGGTTGTCTCAGCCACTTAAACTGAATCTGTTCTTAAAACAGAAGAGTGTGAGTGTGTGTGTGTGTGTGCGCGCAGCGGGTGGGGTGCTCTGGGAAGTGCGAGTCTATTTAGGAAGGAACGTAAGTTGAACTTTAACAGACATGGCAGACAGTCCAGTTGAACGGGTTCCTGCAACATCAAAAAGGCCTGATATCGCCTCTGGCTTTGCCTCACAACTAAAAATTTACCATCCTTTAAAAATCACTGCATACATTTTACATTTGGGTGAAAATCTGGACGTATAGGTACATATATTTTTATTTTTTCGTGTCGGGAAGGGAGGAACAGGATTCAGAAAAAGTGAAGCTCAAAAGCTCAACTTAGTGCAGATTAAAGTATTTGTTTGGCTTTTGTGAATAAATACGATCTGTAACATGCATCAGAAGGGCTTTATCTTAACTGTAAATAGAGATATATTACAGAGACTAAACATTTCTTCTTCCATTTTTTTTGCAAAAAACAAGGAAAGTGGAAGTTTAGGAAAGCCTGGTTTTCCTCGTTGTTTAAAAAGAAAAAAAAAAAAACACACAAAAAAAACCCCAATCTTACAAGAATAATAGCATCGAAGTCAAACAATTCCTCGTATTAGGAATGTATAATTAAATGTAAAAAAAAAAAAAAAAAAAAAAAGTGGGGGTTTTCTTCTTTTTCTTCGCCTCTAGCATTGTTTCCTCTCACTTCCCCGCTCCAGCCCCTCAGTTCCTTTCTGCATCTTCCTCCTCTCGAGTTCATTGAAGTTATGCCTCTTCCTTGCTAAACTTTTTCCCCCCTCTCCCTTTCCCCAGCCTCTGCTTCTGCCAGCCCCCCTCGTCTGATTACATCTAGTAATTCTCCACTGAATGAACGTCATTTACAATAGTAGGGGAGCTCTCGAGCTGGCTGCCAGCTTCACGCTCCATTTGGTCCTGCATTCTCCCTTTAAAGTAGTCGTGTAATATTAATAGTCATGAATATCAATTATTATGAGGCGGTGTAGAGAAGGAACGGGAGGAAGGGGTAGCGGAGCAGTCTGAGCCTAGGCTTAGGTTGAAGAGGATTGTATTTGGGAGCTCAAAGGGAAAAAAAAAGGGGGGGGGAACCCCAGAGAGGGAGGGGTATATCATATATGTAGATAAAGGTTTCTAGGCTCGGTTTGGGGGGTATTGGTCTTTTTTTTTTTTTTTTTTTTTTGATGGATAGACTTCGAAGTATCTCAAGCTGTTCTCCTGTGTCCAACACGGCCCTTTGCAGATCTCCTTGATATTTTTCCCCCCTTCAATTATTAGCACTATTACCATTATTTTCTTTTTAGCTATTACAAGACTTTTTTTTATTTCCAGATGTTAGTCCACACCTATTCCGCCATGGTGAGTTTGGATCCATGTTGTACTAGAATTGCATGTTCTCTCTCTCGATCTGTTGTCTCTCTCCCTCTCTCTCTCTTTTTAAACGCCTTTGGCTTGGTAATTTAGCACAATAATTGGAGGAGGCTTGCAGCTGCTTCTCCCTTTTTGCATTGTGTGTTCTCGATTTGAGCAAGGGGAGTTTGGGGGGAGAGCAGGGAAAAAAACACAACTTTTTTCTTCCCCCCCCCCTTTTTTTTTTTTTTTCCTAAGCGATGTGTGCCATTGCTTGTGGGGGTTTGAGCTACACTTGGTGGAATAGATATTTTTCTTGTTTACTTTTAGCCTCGCAGCTTCAGCTCGATGGAGTTGAACAAAACTCTTCTCCCACCTTTTCTCCGAAGCCTCCACACCGCCACACACTCTCCCCCCCCCCCCCCGCCCCCGGCGCCCCACACACCCCAAAGACTTTTCATTACAATTGACCCCCACCCCATTTTCCGGAATAGAATATTGGGAAAGGAGACAAAAGACACTGGAAATAGCTGGAGAAATCAGAAATCACAGAGACTGGATTTGTTCAATACTGGTGTTTCTTTTTTTTTTTTTTTTTTTTTTTTTTTAAGGAGTGGACTCCCTTTATACAAAAAGCCCCCACGATTTTTTTTATTCCCCCCCCCCCCCCAAGTGTTTTTTCGCACAACTTCTTTCCTCGGAGTCCTCCAAGAAGTGCAGCTTTCTTTTTGGTCTTTTCCAAGTGAAGATGTGTTGGTGATTTTCAGGACTTCAGCAGTGAGAACAAACAGATGTTTGGAAACTTTAGGCAGGACAAGGGGTGGGCTGTTTGGAAGGATGGGTGGTTTGGGGTTCTCAATATTTTTAATTTTTTTTTAAATTTGGGGTTTATTTGAGGAGATGCTGGAAGGGGAATCGTATTACTGGACTGAAGTCACGAATAATAACTGCATATGGAAGACTCGTTCTACATTTTTAATTACGACATTTAGTATTTCTCCCTCAGACAGATCCCCCTTACCCCTCCTTGATACTTACTGGGAACAGACACGGTCTGGGTGGGAAATGCTGGGACAGTCCTAACCCTTGGCAGAGGAAGGAAGGAACATACCTGAAACCTGGTTTACAACTGGTTGTATTTATAATTTTTTTTATTTTGGGGTGGGATTGTGCTCTTTTATTTTATATTATTACCTTTTAAAAGTCCTCTCTTTTTTGTTGCTTTTATTTTATTCTGCTCGTAGGACCGGCATGATGGAGTGCCCAGCCACAGTTCCAGGTTGTCCCAGCTGGGATCCGTCTCCCAGGGACCCTACTCCAGCGCTCCTCCGCTTTCTCACACCCCATCCTCGGATTTCCAGCCGCCTTACTTCCCACCCCCTTACCAGCCTCTTCCTTACCACCAAAGCCAGGACCCTTACTCCCATGTGAATGACCCCTACTCTCTAAACCCCCTGCATCAACCCCAGCAGCATCCCTGGGGCCAGAGGCAGAGGCAAGAGGTGGGATCGGAGACAGGGTCACTGCTGCCGCAGCCTCGGGCCGCCCTGCCACAGCTCTCAGGCTTGGATCCCAGGAGGGACTACCACTCCGTGAGGAGGCCAGATGTCCTGCTCCACTCAGCTCACCATGGCCTTGACTCCGGGATGGGGGACAGCCTTGCCCTGCACGGCATCGGGCACCCGGGGATGGAGGAGGTCCAGGTAAGGCTCCGCGTTGCATTCTCCTGGGCCATGCAGATGCCTCCCATGCTAAGAGGCCCCATCCCTCGGCTATAAATCATCAGTGAGGGGCTTACAGTGATATCGGTACAGGCTACCATCCTTTTTCCATGCTGGGATTATAATCCACCTACTCCCCGTCCTTCACGTTCTTTTTATTAGTAGTATTAGTATTATATAGAGAGAATTTGTTTCACTGCTGTCACGCACCGGCTCTGCTTTGCAAATCGAACATTACCCTGCAAACAGAGAGCAGGGGAAGGCAGACATACTTTAAATATTCCACGTGTTTCAAAAGCTGGCAAAGTTTAAACCTGGCTTTTCAAATTCAGGTTATTTTCCATGCAATATCAGTTTACCCCCTCCCTTAACCTCCCCAACCAATTTCCTGCCGTTCAAGGATTTTGATGAAACTGTCCAATTACTACATTTTTCATCCGGGAGGGAAAATATAAACAAAACCCAAACCAAAAGCAATAACCGGTCATCAAGAACAAGACTTGAAACACTCACTCCCCACCCCCCTCTTTTTTTAAGCATAATTGGTAGGGTAGCACTGCTTTTAAATAATTTGATTCCCTCTTTTGGGTAACAAAGGAGTTTCAGCGGGCTGAAATCACAGTATTTCTCAGCTTTCTTCCATCCCACGCGAAACTCATCAGCATGTGTTATTTCCTAAAAAAAAAACCCCACCCCCAAGCAGACCCACAAAGGCACTTAACAGCTTCGGTACTAGGGGGTGGGGGGAAGGGTTTGCACCTTGCTGGAGCAGGGTATGGCCAAAGAGGGGGATTCCGAGACGCAGGAACTCAGAAGCCAGTTCCTGTATTAGGCTCTGCTAGTAGGGATTTGTGAGTTCCCCTCCATTCTTCACCTCCCTCCTCCCCAAATTTAAGTATCATATATATATATATATGCATATATACACTTGGGATAAACAAACGCTGGATGAGATACGGACTTCAAGGTTACAGAAACTGGAAAAGAAAGGGGAAAAGAAAGGAGAGGAGTCTGAGAAGGTAAAACCAGCCGTGAAAAGGATCCTGCTGAACATGACAAGGACAGCAGCAGAGGGGTGGCTGTTTGCCTTGGCTTGAGCCTGGTTTTAGGACTTCAGGGGAAAATCTCTGCGATTTGCTGGGTCAAAGTGCTTTAGAAATAGAAAGATTTTGGCTTTGCTTCTGTCTCCGAGCTCGTCAAGTCGCTGGTTTCTGCGGGTTTCCAAGCGGGTTTTGAGAGCAGAGGGCATCCCCTCCTCCCTGGGGCTCGGCTTCCAACCTCGGCTCAGCCAAACCGCCTAGGGGGTCAAGTCGAGCTTTACCTCTGTGAACATGTCTATCTTTCTCTGGATAGACGTTAAGTACTGTTTGTGCTTTCGTATTTACACTTTCCCCAAAGAAAAGCTGGTGATTGTTGTGAGAAAGAAAGAGATGAGGGGAGGAAAGGGAGAAGAGGTAAAAAATATAAAAGGCAGAGGAAACGAAAGGAGAGAGAAAGAGGGGGAAAAGAGAAGGGGGAGGAAAAGACAGAAAGAAGCAAGGGGAAGAGAGAGGGAAAGGGGAAAAGGTGGGGAGAGACAGGGAAAGAAAGGGACAGAGACAGTGAGAAAAGAGAGAGAAGAGACAAAGGGTAGGGGAGCAGAAGAGATGAAGAGGAAAAACAAGAGAGAAATATAAAGAGTGGGGAGAGAGGAAGGGGATGAGAGAGACACCGAGAGACAGAGAGAAAGCGAACAAGAGAGAAAAAAAGGTCCTACTCAGCTCAGATAAGCTGTCCTTCCCTTTTCCCGTAAAACATCCCCGCTACGGGCAGCGCTCAGCATCCGTGGAAAGTGCCTCCCCCCGGCCCCCGCCGGCCCGGGCAGGTGATCAGGCTGGGATCGGTCTGGAAAAGGGATGGAATGAGGATAGGGATGGGACTGGGCAGGGGCAGACGTGGCCGTGGGCCAGCAGGCATGGGGCTCCTGTTTTGGGGTTCTGAGGCCACTGGAAATCAAACAGACTCTTCATTTCTAAAAGTTTGGTCTCAGGCCGGGGGAAGAGGGAGAGGAGAGGAGAGGAGAGGAGAGGAGAGGAGAGGAGAGGAGAGGAGAGGAGAGGAGAGGAGAGGAGAGGAGAGGAGAGGAGAGGAGAGGAGAGGAGAGGAGAGGAGAGGAGAGGAGAGGAGAGGAGAGGAGAGGAGAGGAGAGGAGAGGGAGAGAGGAGAGGAGAGGAGAGGAGAGGAGAGGAGAGGAGAGGAGAGGAGAGGAGAGGAGAGGAGACAAGGAGAGGAGAGAGGAGAGGAGAGGAGAGGAGAGGAGAGGGAGAGGAGAGGAGAGGAGAGGAGAGGAGAGGAGAGGAGAGGAGAGGAGAGGAGAGGAGAGGAGAGGAGAGGAGAGGAGAGGAGAGGAGAGGAGAGGAGAGGAGAGGAGAGGAGAGGAGAGGAGAGGAGAGGAGAAACACGTGAAGGAAGAAGTGTCCAACTGCAAGTTAGCACAGGCAGGAGGGAAACCAGCCCGGTACTCGCTCCTACTGTTCAGCATTTTCTATTCTTGCCTCCTCTTCTAGTGGCAGATGAACCTGGGGAGTTTTCCAGCCTGATTTTTAATATGGATTTATTGTGGAGCCAAGGAATCCGTTCTAGGGATTTTAAATATGAATCTACAGGGATTCCTGTTCGGCGATATATACTTATTTTCCACGAACACTAGAGAGAATTTCCAAGAAGGGTCTCAAATAGCTATTTGGTTTAGTTTTGTGGTGTTTTTTCTTCTTTTAGTAGTCCAAAAAGTTGAACCGATATCTAGGTGTATAGTTGGATAAAGATGTGTCTCTTTGCTTTAGCTTATTAGTGCCTGATCAAATACATGCCATGGGAATGTGCTGGGCTGACAAGGGAGCATGAAACAGAATGAAAGGCAGTGCGTGACAGAAAGAAACAGTGGTTTATTTTACAAACGCCAAACTCAGGCCATGTGTGAGCCATTGTCCAGGGCTGGAATTAAGTGATTGTAACATGATAGCGCTCTGTTATTGTAAACAGGACGTATTGTAATGCTATTGCTGCTCCTTCCGAGGGGCATTTTCAAACTGCAAATTACAGTCCTTTCTTAGGGAACAGAGAAGCCAAAACCTAGTCATTGAAAACAAATTTGCGTCATCTAAAAGGGACTCTGAAAACAAACAAACAGTCCCCAAACATTGCAACCTCAGATATTCCCACACACACCAGCTAGTCAAGAGAAAGATTATGCTAGTAAAAGATACAATAAAGAAAATATGGAGGGGAAATTCACGCTCTTTAAGGGGAAACAAGATTTTTTTTTTTTTCTCTGATATTTTCATAGCTATTGAATAAGATTGAATATATGGCATCTAGGAATCTCTGTGCTATCAGATTATTGGAAGGAGGAAGGGAGGCGATCTTCCTCTCGAGATTTTCCAAATCTATCTGGAAACTCATTACCTTTCCCCCTCCCCACACACACCTTCACTCCTCCTTCCTCACACTGCCGTCCCTGTTTCTACGTGCTAGCTAGAGACACGGAGAGTTAAGTTGCGCCAAAACACCGAAGTCTCTTATAAAGTAACCCCTGGTATCACTTTTAACTAAAGAAGTCTAGTAATTAAAAGTCTGAGTTGTTTTTCCACGTTTCCGCATGCAGTCCTAATTAAATCTTTACGATCCTCTCTGTGACTATTAACTGCCAGCATGCTGAGCGAATATCCTGTACAAAAACCCAGCAGGAGGGCGTAATTAGATAGAAAATCAGACAGGAGTCTTCTCATTAACTACAACAACTAACCCACGTTGCTGATGGAGCGAGCGGAGCGCACGCACAGGCATAAAGCGTGGGCACAACCATCTACTCCAGAGATAAGGTGAGATAAGGAGTTAAAAAAAAAAAAAAAAAAGAAAAGTAAAAATAAAAAAAAAAAAGGAAGGAAAGATGGTGTTTCATATTTACCTCCAATTCTATGCCGTGGAGGTGCACCGTGATGCAGCATTTGCTCATCATCCCTCTTTGGGAGCTGTTCAGGGAAAGGAAGGAAGACTGTAATTTTATTTTGTGCCCTTTAGGTATGTAGCCTATTGATTATGAGAGAAAGACACAGCCATGCACACACAACAGAAGGAACAGCTCTGTGTGTGAGCACCCTCTTGAGTGTGTGTGCAAGGAAAATGAAAGGAAAAATCTCATAGAAAATATTGTTCTGTCACATTTTTGGGGAGATGCAATTTTGTCCTAATCATATTCCGTCTTAAATATCTGCTGATCAGAGAGAGCCGGAGATAAAGGCTTGATCCGGATAACCTCAGCCTCTCGTGGTAGCAAAGATAGTTAAAATAATAGCGAAGAAAATAATGGCTTTTCTGTAAAGATGTTTTCTTTATCGGGGGAAAAAAAAAAAAAAAAAAAAGAAAAAGTGACAACTCCCCAGACATGCAATAACCTGGGGAAAAAAGAAAAAAAAAAAAGCCCTCAAACCCTAAATACTAATAAGGAAAATAAAATAATAAATCCAAGAAACCCTTTCTCTAATACCCAGAATTTACCCTAAAATGGAACCTGCCATAACCGTGCAATAAATTGCTCTGGTGACACCTCTTCTCTTTAGGAGATTTTTTTTTTTTTCTGTACCGACCGCAGATCCAACGGTAATTTTGGTTTATTTGTTGTTGAGTATTTTTTTTTTTTGTGGTGTTTTTGTTTGGTTTGTTGTTTGGTTGTTGGGTTGTTTTTTTGTTGTTGTTTTTTTTTTTTGTGTATCCCACGCTGATGTTGGGAAATGAAACCCAACATTTTCTGTGTCCTCTGGGCCCTTCTTTGTTCTCTTCCCTGCTAAAGAAGTTAATGCCGTAATAACAGGTGTGCTCTTATACGGGCTGAAAAGAAAGGGGAAATAAATGGCGGGGGGGTTGGGGGGGGGGGGTGGTGTGAAGGGGGATGGGGCGGAGGAAACGCTTGAAAAGGAGATAGGGAGACTTTTTCTAGGCAATTTCATAGTTCCTTCTGTTGATAATGTATATTCTTGCTCCTCTCTCCCCATTAATTCAGGAGCTGGAAATCTTCTGCTTCTGTCCCGGACCATGGGGGCGGATCGCTCCAGCTTTTAAAGTCCATAATGTAAACTATTGTATATAAAAAGTAAATGGCCTTTGAATTACTAAGAAGTTACAAGGTTAAACAAACAAAACAAAACACACACACGCACAAAGTTGGGGGGAGGGAGGAAAGGAGAGGGAGATTTTAAGTTTTCCTTAATCGTGTTCATTTCTGTCATGCGATGGATCTTGCAGACGTTGTCGACCTGCCAGATTTTCAAAGGAAGAAATATAAAGCTTTGTCGAATGAAAGGAAGTCTATGTGATTTCTGTGTTTTATAAGATAACAAACCCAGTATTGCATCCCATATGCTTCACACCTTATTATTATTATTAATTATACATACTATATTATACTATATAATCTGTAAGAATTTTGTTTACTTTGGAGGAATAATAATAACAATAATAAGAATGATTAAGAAATCCCTCCTCCCCCAGTAAATCAATATAAATGGAAATTACAGAAACTTCAGTTTGGAATGACATGATTTATGTACGTGATTCTTTAATATCCAGTCAATTTGAATAGTGATGTTTTTATATCCACAGTCAGTTGAAGATGCCAATAACAGCGGTATGAACTTATTGGACCAGTCTGTCATTAAAAAAGGTATGGATTATTCCAACAAGCTAGACGAATTTGTAGTAAAATCTTCATGATGTCTTTTTACTTTGGGAAAATTAATTTATCAGGGAAGTAGGTATAGATGGCAGCAAGGTGTAGAGTTGGTTGGATCGGTAGATAGAGTGAAGGGGAAAGGGAAGATCTGTGAAAGGAAAAGTTTATATTCCCACCTTCCCCCTCCTTAAAGGTAATAATTACTCAAATGTCCCTAATTGAGCACCCCATGCTCAAATGCAGTTTCGGGGGGTGGGGGGGTGGGGTGGGTGGTTATCTTTTAACGGGAGAAGAGGGCTGATTCCCTTTGGGGCTGAAATGTATTTCCCAGGCCAATCAAAAGTGAAGGAGAGAAAAAGAAATACTTATGGAAAAATAGCCTAGACCTTCTTCCCCCCTTTTTCCAAGAATCCCCCCCTTCCCCATGCCCATTTTGTAAATCTCCCTACATATGCGCACATGATTTAGTGTAACTGCAGAATCACCCCATACTGTTAAAGGGAATGTGATATTAACAAATGTTTGCAGTCTCTTGTACAGCTGTAAGCAAAATAATTAACTAATTAAACTAATTAAATGTAATTACAATAACTCATTTCGGGCGTATTGCAGCTGCTTAATTTTTTTACATTTCTCTGACAGTCACTCGAAAATGCTTGGCGATTAGTGTTGTGTTATGCTGATAGACATTAAACAGATCACACGCTGCAAATGTAGGGAAAGCTATCTTTAATTATCTAAGGAGTTTCTCTTTCTAGATTCAATTTTAAGTACCAGAGATGAGCCTTAGAAATGCTGTCTCTTATGCTTACTATCAGCAGCACTTACTTCTTATTTGTCAAATGCGCACAAACACTTTAATAGGGATGATCTTCTAAAATGTAAAGGAAAATAACAGGGAGATCGTTTATTTAAAATGTATTTAAGGCAGCATGAGGTCCTTCCGTGTATTTATTGGTTTTTAATTTAAATCCTCGTGTACAGTCCCTCTCTTGTATACACACACGATCAAGGTATGGTTATTTGAGGGAGAAGAGGTGAAAACTTTAAGAACGCTTGGTAGCATTATTTAGGACCATCGGTTGAAAAGTCGAAGGCGGTTTTGAGAAATAGAAAATTGCTCACCTTCGGGTTTTAATATATATAGTGAAAAGTTGTTTCTCCTGGTTTAGTGCAGTTTGAATGTTCAGTCGGGTTTGTGCTCAGGGTCTGTAATCTGATGGGTTTTGCTTGTATTTTCTTCCTTCCCCCCCCCTCCCCCCCCCGCTCTCCTTCCCTCCCCACCCCTGCTTAACACCTCATACTCCATGTTTCCTCTTGGGTGTATTTGATTAATTGGTGCTTGATTTGTGGCGGAGAGGCTCCTTCCTAGCGTTGCTCCCTTTTAGTATATTCCTTTCACAATATGTTTTTCCGCAGAACACTTTTTATGTTGATCACCCTGGCCAAAATACTCTTTTTTTTTTTTTTTTTTAATATATATATATATAACCACTCCACCCCACTTCTGTGTCTCCCCTTCCTTCAGGGACAGCAGAGACTGAACGCGCATGCTGGGCGGTACATTTAGATAGCGAGTAGCACTAAAATGTGAGTATTAGTAACTACACGTCTTAGGTGTAGATATAGGGGTGCTTAATGTGTACGGGCATTGCAAGAGCTCCAGGTCGAGCAGCTGCCGCATAATCCCATATAGGTGCGACTACATGCACCTGTGTGCAGCCATAAGAAGAAATACCCTGAGTTTATTCATGGTGAACAAGATGGATACGCACTTCGGAAATGTCACCAAAGAAAGATCTTGAGATCTGTTTCAAAGTCGCTTTAGCAGTATTTTCTTCCTCAGATGTAATGCTGAGATTTAAGAAGCTTCTCAGCATAAAGGAATACTGGGAGCTCAGTTGCTTTTTGCGCAGGGTGTTTCGTGGGTACAGAGGAAGAGAAATGAGTAATAAATAGTAGGTCACGTTTGTGGCAGACAATATTTAATCAGGAAGAGAGAAGGAGCTACACAGACAGGGTCCAGTATAGATTTCGCCTTGTTCTTGCAGTTTATTGCTGTGATGATGTCCTTCGAAGCAAGAATAAGTTGTTGAAACTCTCCAAGTTGTTATTGCAGGCAGATGGACAGTTAGGTAGAGACTGAATTTGGGGCTGTGGAGCACTCCCCGTGATACAGATTTGATAGACAAGGGTTAGAGTGAGACGATTTCACCTAAACCTAAAACACTTTAATTACGATGTAGTTGAAAAAAAATATAATGGGGACTTGACATCTGAACCATGCAGATTGTGTTTGTTTCTTCATAGTCTTGGAAGCCTGCAGAAGGAATTACTTATCTATGCAAAAGTATTGCCAAAATATTAAGGAAATTACACAGGGATTCATACGCGGTTATCGATTTATTCCGCGTATCGATCCCGCACAACAGATTACATACACCCAGCCTCTTGTTATGTTTGCTATCTGAGCTTACTTGACATTTCTGAAGTAATTTAGTTAAGAGGAAATGAGTTGTTCCCAGTAGAGAGAGCAAACGAGTGGAATGAAGGTAGCCAGCGTGATAAATGGCTCTTTCATTTGGAGATCTCCAGAGCTCGTTTAAGGCTAATTTTCTGTATTAGCCCCCTTTGAGCTATTAATGCAATAGGCAGGGACCGTGGCCCCTCGGCTCTTAGCTGCCCCATTAGAGCAAGCATTAAGCTACCAAGCCTGCACTCTGCTGCGATGGTAGTGGAGCAATGAAAGGTGCTTTTTAAACTCTCCTAATCTAAACTGGCAGAGGGTGGTTAATACGATTTGAAGGGGGCTGGTCAATGAACAATCAATAAACTAATAATGAGAAGGATGCGGTACATTAATAGTCTAAAAAAATCCAACGAGACGTTTAAAAATCATCGTTAGCTCCTAGTTCCATTAAGATTTGGGTGGTGGAAGTGGGCGGGAGGGAGCCAGATAAATCATCGAGATGATAATAATCAGCAAAAACATTAATACCAGATTTAACTCGGCTTTAAGAGTTTACCGGCTGCATGTTTTGAGGCCTTTCCCTCGATCCCTGTTGAAATACAGGGAGATTTTATGTATGTCAGGAATTAAAAAGCAGGTCCTCTTATCACCTGTTCATTTGGGATGTCCTCTCACTGGCTATGGCCAAAGAAGTTCTCCTGAAAATTCCCTCGTGGCCAGAGCCCTGAGTTTTTTTTTTTTTTTTTTTTTTTTTTTTTTTTTTTTTTGTGACTCTGGGGCATAGCCAGTGACTTTAAAATTATTCTGATGTATTTATTTACTTTCAGAGGTTTCTGACAATCGCCAGCACACTCACACCTGATTTAGCACGAAAGGCCACTTAACCCTAACACCTTCATCCTCTATGTCTTTGCAAACACGCTCTATTCTTACCATTTAAAAGAAATACATGAAAGGAGGCGTCTTAACCTTAAAAACCCCAAACAACCTAATAATACAACGTGAGATTCCTCCCCACCTCTTCTTGAAGCATCCGGATTAATGATTAACTGAAAACCTCTCTGGCCTCAGCTTTGCAGGTGATAGACCTGAGAATGAGAGATGTTGCTTCGCTGCCGGTTTCGTGCTTATTCCTGGATTGTCCAGTGAACCTTATGATCACCTTTAATTGAATGCAAAACAATTTCGAGGGAATACATTTTGCTTGGAAATTTAGTCCCGGTTTTCAGGGGAAAAAGGACTTCGGTGGAGAAGAGAGGGGAGGTGGGAATGGAGGAGTTGAAAGGGGCCAGAGGGAAAGGGACAGGAATACACGGTTTCTCAAATTGTTCATTAACATTAAAATAATAACCGGGCCTTTCGTTGGCAGTGGGTAAGACTGTCTCTGGACTTTCTTGGTTTGGCTACCAAGTCAGACCAAATCAAGTTACAGCAAAGTCCTGTTGTTATAATGGACAAAGAACTTTTTACTGATTTCAATTTGCCCAGTAGGCAGATTTTTTTAATTACTTTTTTAAAGGCTGTTTGATAGCTCGATAGCAAAATAGCAAGAAGTTTGGCTATGACGTTTGTTAGTAAGAAATATAAGAAATATTTATTCGGATTGATTGTTTGATTGACTGACACATGATCATATTATTGACGGCGTTATTGCAACGATATCCATAGAGTAGAACCTCTTATTCAACTATTTTCAGGACATTATTTTATTTATTAATATTTATTTATTCTACTTATTTGTTGTTTTTCTATTTATTTGTTTATTTTAGTGCTCCTCAAATGCCCTTTTATTTCCATTTCCACTTCCGTGTCTGCACTGTTGCCCATTTTTATGTTTTTGTGGAAAGCAACCCAACAGAGAATCACCATCAACAACAACAACAACAAAAAAAGAACAACCCCTAAACTTAATGTATGCACAGAAAATTGTAAACATGTAAAGAACTGAAAGCTTCACGCTGAGTTTCGCCATGCTCCATTTCCCCACCATTTCCTGCTGTCGTTTTAAAGCGATCTCACTCATCTAGAGATCCAGTTTGCAGGAACAGTGTGCTTATAATTACTAACAAATCAAGCGGCTACTGTTGCTCTCCCGGTTTATTGATAAGCTGAAGAGAAATGGAAGGGGGAGAAATGACAAAGAGGCTGGAAACAACCGCAGGAGGAAAAAAAGAAAAATGAAGAGAGAAAAGGGACAGAAAGGAAGGAGGAGAGAAAAATAGAGAGAGAAAGAAAGAAAGAAAAAGAGAAGACAGAGATTTTGGAAAGGGGAATTATGTAATTGTGAGTGCTCACATACAGCAAATAGAGTTTGCGAGGGAAAGAAAATGTAATGGTTTCTGCTGCTGGTAACAAGAACTAAAAGGCATAAAGTTAAGGCAGAAGTGCTGGGAATGCTGTGTACACATGTGTGTGTTACTCTGATTATTTCAGTTTTCACAATCCCTAGCCAAAGAGTAAAGTCGACATGGGTTGCAAATATATTCTGCATTACACTTTATTTACATATATTCAGGGATTTGACACTTGCAGCTGCTCACACGGACATGTATGTCTTCACCTACTAAAACCTCCACGTTTTATTATCTCTTGTAATATCTGGGCTCTATCTGAAAAGCTATAACCATGATAAACAGATAGATGCGATATAAAGATAATTCATTCCATGGCAAATACTTCTTTTGAGACAACATTAGGTAATTTACAGAAGATGTAGAGTCTAGATAGAATACATCTCTCTGAAGCTATGAAATTGCAATAGATATGCTTACACCGCCTGGTAAGCTTCTAAAATTTAGAGTTATTAGAGTCCTAATGATGGGTATATTCATACCATCCTTTTGGGAGAAGCAGTAGTAGGGAGAAAACCTGAGGAGTTCTCAGCATAGTGGGGGAGGGAGCCAAGGCAGCCTGCTTCCCAAAAGCAATTTGCAAGGGGAAAAAAAACAAAGAACACACCAACAAAAACCTGAGCACGTGAAAATCCATATTTCAAAGGTTAACTAATGTAATGAGCACTCCAAAAGGGCAGAGCGGGGGGGGGGGGAGCAAAGCACGTTTCGCCATTGCACGGGTCCTTCACTCTTTAGTGAGTTTGGACTAAGATCAGATGTTCGTGGAATTGCTGCCTCTTGTTTAATTTTTCAGTTCACTGGACAGTGACCTGATAAACTGGCGACTAAATATAGCCACTGTAAAGGTGTACTGGAACCACTGAGGCCATGTGTTGGGCCAAGAGAAAAAATGCCACTCATGAAATCTGTCTGGTGGCACTGCTTTACTTGTTGTTGTTGTTGTTGTTTTCTTTTTCATTTATTTATTTATTTGTTACTTTTTCTTGATGCTTCGCTAGAACGACATTGCAGAACATCATGCATGAAACAAGTGATATGTCTATGTGTAACGGGGAATGTGGACGGATTTGGGTTTTGTCTACCAGAGCTGCCTCTGAGACTCCAAATGAGTCTTTTCCCATAGAATCAATATCAATCAGCCTCCCCCCTCCCGCCATTAATAGCAACGAAAGCAAGAGTGGGCTTCTAACTCTTTCATAACTATTTCTGTGCCGTTCTCAAACTATTTGAAACTGCCTTTATGAGCTGTATAAAGTGCCTAACTAAAAATAATAGAGAAATAGGAATCCAACTCACTTTCTGATTCCCTGAAGTAAAGTCACTCAAAATAATTTGTTTATACTGTACACTATATACAAGGCACACAAAGCAATATGCATGTCTAAAATCGACATGCCTTTTGGTTTTTAGCTGTTATGGAGCTTTTATTGTGGGGGTCTGGTCTGGCAATAGGAAATGATCTGTAATAAAAACAGTGAAACACGGTTGTGTCTATTCCATACAGTGAGGTTATAAAATTGGCAATTGCCCAGTAGTTAGCACTTTGTAATATATTAGGATACCCGATCTTATTGTTTAGCAGCTCCAGACGACTTAAATATCCGCTCAACCCTAATGGTTTGATTCTCCAGCTATGTTGCAAATAAACAGGGTTTTTATGACTTAACCGACATGTATTATAACTACCTAAATAGCTGGCATATGTGCATAATAGAGCCCTATTATTTGCCGAATTGGTTTTGTAACTGATTGAGTGGAAATGGGAGACTGTGGAGCAGTATCTACTCGATGAGGGTACGTAATCAATTAGTTTTCTCCTCTGAAAGATGCCCGCTGGACTGCCAGGATTCTACCACCAGCAACTCCCCTAATTTTGGAGTGTATTTTCTATAGAAAGCCAGCAATTCCGAAAGGAAGAAGCAGTAGCAGCTGTCAGCTCTTATTAACTCCTGCATAAAACATACCTTAAGTATGGTTTGTTATCAATTACTTGCAGAAATGAAACAACTGGGGAAAATGCAGCGAGGCTCCCTATAAATTAAAGCGATTGGCTGATTGATTAGAGCACCTGCTGTAAATCATCACACTTACTCACAGTTATGAGGGAGCTATTTCAGTTCATTTGTAAACAAAATTCGGGTCACGAGGGAAATGCTCTCATTTCTAGTTTAACCAGTTTTTGTTGCTGTTATTTATTTCTGAGTGTGTATGGTTGCTGTTATAGGAATTTGTTTGTTATAATCCCCTTGGTAGCTTTCAAAATAACCTCACTGGTTTCTCAGAGAAAATAAATATTTCTTTTTTATCGTGGACAGAATAGCATGTTTTAATTTTGCTTAGTTTTGTTTTATTGTTTTCTTTTGATTTTTTTCCCCATAACTGCCTTCATATGTGTTACATATACCCGTAGTTACCCATAACTACCTAAATATGTGTTATAGTAACTAGCTTTATTTAGGGGCAAGAGAGTTCCTATTACTTCACGGACAGCACGATAATCAAGGTGGAGAACGCCACGGTTAGACTAGATTTCTGGTGGTTTTTTTTTTTTTTTTTCTGGTGTTCATTTTTCTGAAAGAAAAGACTCATTTTATTTCATAAACCAGAGTTAATAAAAACACAAAGCAATAACAGAGCTGTCTTCTGGTTGCTGTATCCTCCAGCTTTGATACTTATTTAAGACAGCAGCTCCCTTCGTGTAGTGAATTTATTCCTGGCTCATCTTAGCAGTAATGGAAACATTAGCAAAAAACAGTAAATTTTCCTTTTTTTTTCCCCTCCAGAAAGGCGCTGTCCGTTGTACAAAAGGCATCGGGGGGCTCTGGGTGAGACACAGGCTCAAACCCGAAAGTTGCCAGGTGCTTGCCAATATGTATTTTATTTCCCAATGATCAAACCCTGCATAGAGGCTGTACTGTACCACCCTTCTCTCCATCCATCATTCATGGAGCAGTTTCCTAGAGGTTGGGGGAGCAGCACCCTTTAGGTTGCTGGAGGTAGCCAGAGACTCAAAATTCCCTTTCATTTTGCTGTTCTGTGCATGTCAGAGAGACTTATCCAATGCTCCTTCACGACATGATGGTTTCTCTCTCCCCTCTCTCCCTTTTCTTTTTCCAGTTCCTGTTCCTCCAAAATCTGTTACTTCTTTGATGATGAACAAAGATGGCTTCCTGGGTGGAATTTCAGTCAATACTGGAGAGGTGTTTTGCTCTGTACCTGGCCGCTTGTCCTTGCTTAGTTCAACTTCAAAGTATAAAGTAACTGTAGGAGAAGTTCAAAGACGCCTTTCTCCTCCAGAGTGTCTGAATGCATCCCTTCTAGGAGGAGTACTTAGAAGGTAAGAGGCTGGAGCACGTGTGTGAATATGTCCATGTGTGGGCATCCGTGCATGCACCACAAATAAAGTCAACAGTAAAGGTCAACAGCAAAGATGATTGCAAGTACTCACTGATCTTATTGCCATAGATTGTGTGTGCCACATTCAGGGTTAGGTGAAAATATGGTGTATTCAGGCATTGAGATGAACATATGGAGAATAGAGAAAGATGCAATCTAGTGGGGTTTTTATAAAAAAATCTGGAGCTTGTCTCAGTTCCAGAATGAAGGAACTGAGGCAAGAATATTTTCACTCTTGTACATGTGCACACTTTCTACCTTTTCTTCTCGCAGTTCTCTCTTAGAAAACTGTCAAAATAAAATGTGACTATGGCCATGTTGCAGTTAGACATTGCATGATGAGCCATATGTAATTCAGGACCTGATGTATTTCTAGGGATTTATTAGATAAATCCATTATGCTACCCTTATATGGCTATAAAGATAAGGCAATTAACATAGGCAACCTGTAACTTATGTAAGTAGCTGACTAAAGAAAACCAGCAACAGACAGCTTTGAAAGTCAGAAACTTAGTACTTAATCTAGAGAAAGTTGCTGGAGGAATTATTCACAGTTGATGTTGAAGCCTTTGCTCTCCAACATTTGTGCAAATCGCCCGCTAATGATCTGGTGGGTTTTGCTGAAGACCTCAAAATAGTTGGTGTTATTGGTACTGAGGAAAATAAAGACCAAAGGATGACCTGGAGGTCTAGATACCACTCCATCATAGCAAGTGGGAGATTGTGCATTTAGGTACCAGCAACAAGAATTTCAGCTCTGAGGTCATCAGTTGGAAAAACTATCAGAGAGAAAGGCTTTTATCTTTTTGGCAGTGTCTGAAGGGCTGCGAATTATCAGAATTACTTGTCTGGAAGAAAGGTGGGATAAGACTCTATGGCCAGTCAGAACAGGGAAGAAGTCATGGCATGAGGTACCAGTTCACCTAAGCCAGTAGAAAGCTGATAGGGGATAAGACTTCATTCTCTATGCGTGAGGTATACGCCAGACTGGAAAATAAAGCATTACTTTGAGACAGGAACAAATGCATCTAAATTGACCTTGAATAAATTTCAGATCATGTTGTAAAATTTCTAATCTTAAAGAAGAAAATACTTTTTCCAAATCCTGCAGCAACAATTGGGCAATGTTGACTGTAAGGTGTTTTTAAAAAGTTGTGATTGGATTCCCTCCCCACCAACCCAACCCCCCCACACACCCCCCTTACCCCACCCCCCACCCCCCCACCCCCCCCCGCAAAAAAAATCCGCGATGACGTCTGGAGATGTGGGGGAAAGTCCTGCCACATGCTGTCAGTCACCCAAAAAATACACGTGAGAGTTAGGGTCTCCTAAAATAGATGCCGTTCCACGTGAATGTCTGTAATCATTGTTCAGACAGCATCTTTGCCAGTGAGAGCAGCAGAGAATTTTACGTACATATGCCAACTTGCCTGCTCATTCTGTACAACTACAAATGGAGCAGGGAGAACATCTGAGAGATACACTGTAGGAAATATAATTAGCAAGGTAAAGAAACATCATTATTGAACTTCAATGGATTTCTGGAGTTGGCCCAAGCCATCGTCATTGGCTGCTGCTGACTTCAGCTCCTATCTTGAATCTAAATTCTAGACAAGCTTTTGTTTCAAAGGAGGTGAAATATAGAAAGCTGCTCTCTTGTAATTCTGCCATCTAGCCCTATTTACTTTGATATAAAATAGTGGGAAGCCAGCCTGGCTTCTCTGTCGTTTCGTTTAGAGAGAGTACTAATCCTTAAATAATTTTAAGTAAGAGCGAAGAGATGTTTGGGAGAGACTCCGATTTTAGGTGCCAAAACTCTGCTTGATTTCGCAGGTGGCAAGATTTCATCCCTGGGGGTTTACATATGTATAGGCGTCCGAACAATAGCTGTGTATTTCCCACCTATAGCTCAGTCATCCTTTTATTGTCCTTATCAGTAACCTCCGACAGGCATTCAAATCTTCCTCCAGGCAATCAGTTCCCTCTATATAACGCACCCTGCCTTCAGGTGCGCTGTTCCTCTTAGCGTCGCCTTTCCGCACCAGAACACACTCAGACATACAAGCACAAAAACGGGTTAATAAATATTTTCCTCCTTTTCGATTTTATCCACAGGCACACATATTCTCCCATCGAGCCTTCCAGATATACCCCCGCCTCGCTCTTCTTCCCATCCAGGTTTTTTTCCTGGAATAACCGAGGATTTAATTCTCCTCTTACCTTTCTGCGCATCTCCTCACTCCATCTTAATACCAGCTAGTATCATACAGTGGGAACCCATTCCCTCTCTAGATCAGAATACTGCACGTTAATTATTGCTATCTGGCATTATTTGATTTCCCTTGATAAAATAGGGTGGAAGGTGGGTTCATCCCTACTCCCACCCCCAAGATAAATGAAGAAAATCTTAACAAATCCGAGCAGAAATCAGCGCACCCCAGGTCGAGAGAAAACCCTCCCAGGTTTCAGTGACTGCACAGACTAAATGTTTCTTCCAGGAACACCGCGGGGTTAATCACGATGTTAATTTCTTTGCAATTCTAGAGCCAAATCGAAAAACGGGGGGAGATCTTTGCGAGAAAGGCTAGAAAAAATCGGTTTGAATTTACCAGCCGGCAGGCGTAAGGCTGCAAATGTCACTTTACTCACCTCTCTGGTGGAAGGTAAGCCGGGGGTAGCAGCTTCCTTCACCCCCCTGCCTGCTCTGAACTCGTGTTTGACATTTTACGAACCAAAAATAAAACAAACCAAGTCACTTTGGGATCAGATGGGAAAACCCTGCAGAGGTAAAATTCAGGACTGGTTAGGATGAACACGGATAAGGATCCCATTCCCCAAAATCAACTCACAGGCTGCAGGGGCATTGGTCCCTCTTGGTGGCAAGAATGAGATTGTGTGTGTGTGTAAGTGTATGTGTGCATATACGTGATGCTGCAGGGCAGTCCCATCCCTCACTGCTATTAATTTCCAGCCTGTGCTCTCCAGCTCCACATCTATTCCATCCCCCCGCTAATTCGCTCCTCCCGAGCTCATTTATGGCCACTACAGGACGCTCAATGAAGAAAAATAATACAGAATTTATTTATTTTAAAAGAAATAAGAGGAATATCAGAGTTGCAGAGTGCTGTTTACCTTAAGGTGTCTAGAACTGAGCAAAGAGAGAAGCTGTTCCTGAGGAAGGAGAGAGGGGAGATGAGGTTGCACCTCATCTTAAATCAGTGAATGTCACATTGGATGTCGGCGTGTTGCCTTGATTTACTGTTACGGTATTGAAAAGTAAAATTCACAGACAGTAATATGTTTAGGATATATAAGTGTTTATGCTAACAGAAGTTGGACCTTCTCCAAAAAACATAACCGGAATAGTATGAATGCAATTATGAATAACATGTATCTGCATTGCTCATACACACTGAGAGGCGTTTGAATAATCCACTTATCTGCAGCATATAAGCATGCATAAACATTTGCGCTAGATAGTAACTTTTCGACTCTTTTGATGGAGTTTTGTGAGCGATAAGACGTTTCCTCATGCAGAGAGGGCTCGCAGAAAGTCGGGTGCTGGTAGAAAGGAGCAGCTCCCATGTAAGGTTGTGCAAAGCTCAGGGTAGGATAAAGGGTCGCTCTAGAGGAGCGGTGAAGTATCTTGGTTGCGACAACCGGGATTAGCTCAGCTTCACTCTCTTCCCTGCCTGTGTGGAGATGGGTGCATCCTTCTCCCAGCAAAATCAGCTCCTTCCCGAAGCTGGATTGAGGTTCAGAAACCTGTGCGGTGGTATAGTGATGCAAAAAAATACGTTGTGTGTAGTAAGGTGCGCGTTCCCCTGATTTCCTCACAAATCAACAGTTTCTCTTGAGAGCTCCGTCCTTTTGGGAGAAGCTGGGCATGATGGAGATTTATTTTCTTCCACTAGCCAGGCTCTAGCTTTGCTGTTACTGTATCCCGGAGAGCAGAACCGCCCCGGCCGGGGTCACGGCTAGGATGCCCAGGCGGCCCCCAGCGGTAGAGGGGGGATGGTGGTGGCTGTCATCAACGGGTCAGTGATGAACGAGAAGCCTCGGGAAGCAGGAGATGAAGTTGGAAAGCAATTCCCGATTGTTAAAAATAAGGTGGTCCTGGAATTAGTAGACATACCCGGTTTGCGTGTTGGAAATCTTCCCCCACGGTCCCTCAGGCAGTGCTTTAGAGGGTTTAATGCTTATTCTAGAGGGGTTGAGCTATAATCTGGTGGAGTCTGAGGTTGTTCCCCCTTCCTCTTCTGCTCCTTTCTGCAACTACTGTCTTCTTGTAGCATGAAGTGCATCAGTAGAAGTTGGATGACGCGGAACTCTGGAGGCAAGAAACTGAAACCAGACAGGCAGGAAAAGTGACAAAATTAGAGCTAGAGTAATCATTATTTTTCACAGAAAAAGGTGGTCATTGCTTTCTCTCTTTCGACCAGGCAGAGCTCCTGTTGTGGAATGCTCAGTTAAGAAAGCAGATTAATAGTTTCCATCGGGAGAAACTCAGTCAGTCATTTTAGAGAAGTGGCAATGATTGTGATGATGGTGCAAGTGCTCGTTTAAACAAGTGTGTATATAATGTTCCACAATGAATTTACATTAATACTAACACTATGTCCACAGCTGTAAAATTTTCGACAATGATCTGCTGTATTGAATTAATAATGGTTTCTCTGCTTTGAAGAAAAGTTTGGTTCTTCTGTCCTTCGGGATTTAACTGATTTTCCCTCTCTCTCTTTTTTTTTTTTTTTTTTCCTAGTTAATTTGAAAGTGCGTGTGTGTAGGCGTGAGAGGGGTGTGTGTAGGTGTGTGTGTGTGTGCTTTTCCCACAGCTCTGCACAATCAACTGCATGGGTACACACCATCACAATTGCATTGTAGCAAAAAAAATCTCATCAGCTGAAAAATCTGGCCTATCGTCTTACTTCAGCCCCCAATACAGGGCTTATGGAGGGAAAACATGTACCTGGCTCCTGTCCCCAAGGCACAAGGGGTGTTAGAGGTCTGAAGGGTCGGCCCTTCCCCGGGGAGTGGTGGGCAGGAGGCGGCTGCCACCGGTGCCTGAGCTAATGCCCCGCTCTTTTCCTCCAGGTGAGGCCGTTCATTTAGCCCGGGATTTTGGGTACATCTGCGAAACGGAGTTCCCAGCCAAAGCTGTTTCTGAGTACTTGAACAGACAGCACACGGACCCCAGCGACCTCCACTCCAGGAAAAACATGCTGCTTGCTACAAAGTGAGTGCGAGTTAACTATCCTCTTTCTGTCCCGCCTCTCCACAAAATCGTCCCTTCCTCAGAGGTCTCTCTGAAAGGAGACAGATTTTACAGTCCCAAAGTAACTTCCAGTCCCCAGATTGCAGGGAGAAAGGATGCTTGCATTGTCCTGTGGCCAGGGTAGACCCTTTAACTCCTGGGTCCCTTTGCAGTGGAGTTTCTGCCAACACATCCTAGAGGATATAGGCGACTATCCCCTGCTCCTGCTCATAATTTCCAAACCACCCCCAGTTAAAAGATCTTTATGGAAAGGGGGCAGAAAATTTCTATTTTGCTCCCTCAGTGTGTCTGTCTGTCTGTCCTGCTGCTCACACACACCTGTTTGTCTGCTACCAAAATGCAAAGTCTTTTGCATAGGGTTTAATAATAAAAAAACCCCAATAATTAAAAAAAAAAAAAAGGATGAAAATATAAGGGCTCCCCCACTATGTACTGCTGGTGATCTTTGGTTTGATTTCACCATTCCATGTCCCTCCCTTGAGTCTTTCTTGGTGGCTGTGCTGTATGTGATGATTTACACTTGGCTCTGCCTCCCAGGCTACTTAACTGAGTGCTTCATAGTTTGCTCGAGTCCCCACCGGTGGGTGCTGTATGTCTTCACACATCTTTGTCTACCCGGGGAAAAAAAAAGAAAAAAAGAAAAAAAAGGGGGTGGGGGGTAGGGGGAAGGAAAGAAAAAAAAAAAAACCAACCCCACACCAGCCTAAACAGCTCTCATTTATTTCATGCTCTGGGACGTGGCTTGCCTCCGACGACAGTGTAATTTAAAGAAATATACTGAGGGTTGAAAAATCATTTCCTCAAATTTGTCCAGATGTTTTTTAGACGTGATTGGAATTTGATTGCCCTTTACCGCAGGGTCAGAAGATATTAATGTTCCAGAACTTTAATTGCTCACAGACCCTGCTTTGCCCTTTGAAGATGTAAAATGCTGGACTCATTACTGTTTGTTCTCCAAATTCAAAGTTTCCTCTCTTGCACTTTCTTAATGGATAATACACATAGAAGCAGACCTTTATCTTTCCACACCCTCTGAAACCTTTAACCCACTGGGAATTTCAGAGAATTTTAGAAGATGAGAGCTGAATGTATTTTTTTAAGGGTTTCTTTCTTCTTCTTTTTTTTTTTTTTTATTCTGGCACTTTTTTCTCCAGTCCCTCGGTAGACACCTGTTTCAAAGAAATTATTCCTTTGGGAGCCCCACCAGCCCCCAGGGTTTCTACATTGCCTGGGCACCTGTTGACTTGAAGGCCTTTTGGACCAGAGCAGTGCAAAAGAAAGTGTGTAGGTGGGAATTCATTAGAAAAATCAAATCTGACTTTTCAAAGGTGCAGGCAGACAAACAAGAGCCAGATGTCAACTCTGATGTGTTAATTGGGGTGTCACCCCCTGGATATAAAATTTGAGGTGCTTGCTTTGCTCCTCATGGAATGAATAAGCCAGCACAGAGTCCTGGAGTCCCGATCTTTTTTGGCAAGGTGGCCCAGCCTAAGGAGGCTCAGAGGTGACTCTGTTTTAGCCTTTTCCTGCACTGTATCCCTGTGGTATGTAACTCAGTGCACGGCTGTGCTTTCGTCCAAGAACAGCATTGGTGGGAGCTGCCCAGCCTACAGGAAGATCGTGGTTGGCAGACCCATTGCACAACTCTATTTTTGTCCTAATTATTTCTAAAGCCACCAAGCAAACTGCTTCAAAAGCACCCTTGAAGCAACACAGTGCTTCAGAAACATTCTTGCGGCTGTCAGGGAGAATTCTATCTCCAGACCTGGTATTGTCCTGCAGTTGCAGAAACCTTTCTCTTGAAGATCATCATCCTGAGCAGGGAGATGCTGGCTCACCATGTCTGGTCCCTGAGCAGTCCTAGGGCAAAGGAAGGTGACAGAAATGACCTATCCTGGGTCTTGGCATCAGCTTTTGCCTGAACCTGCTCCTTCTTTCATCCTTGGTTGTCTTGGAGAAGTGTGGGATGAGCCTAACCACCACTTTTTCTCTTTTCCTGTATTTGTCTTTCTTTTTCCTGTACAGGCAACTTTGTAAAGAATTTACAGATCTCTTGGCCCAGGACAGGACACCCATTGGAAACAGCCGGCCCACCCCTATATTGGAACCAGGCATTCAGAGCTGCTTGACTCACTTCAGTCTCATCACTCATGGCTTTGGGGCTCCCGCTATCTGCGCTGCCCTCACAGCCCTTCAAAACTACCTGACTGAAGCTCTCAAAGGCATGGACAAGATGTTCTTGAACAACAACACTGCTAACAGGCACACATCTGGCGAAGGACCAGGTAGTAAAACTGGAGACAAGGAAGAGAAACACAGAAAATGAGAGAAAGGGAGAGGAAAAAAATAAAAAGAAAGAAAGAAAGAAAGGAAAAGGAAAAAGTCAAATTAAAAAAAAAAAGGAGAAAAGAGAGATAATCTTTTAAAACAAAACCGTCTTAATTTTAGCTTTAAAAATACTGGATTGGGTTTTGGAAGAATTCTATTAGGTAGGACAAAATAATAATAATAATACAAAATAATAATAATTAAAGAAAGACAATAATTTAAGATCAGAGGAGCACAATGGCGCAAGACCAGTGGTTCAGAATCTCTTGCCAGGAATATGTGAAGACAACTACCAGGATTTTTTCCCCACTTCTGTTCTTTTATAGTTTTTAAATAACGATTTTGGGGGAGGGAAATATAATAATAACTAATAATAATAATAAAAGAAAGAAATGAATAACTTATTGGAAGAAATTGGAGAAACATTTTTGGTGTCAGTGCTTTGATTTCTTGAGCTACACGGTCTGTCTTGCTATTACTTTTATTTTATTCTTTTTTGTTGCTGTTGTTGTTTTTCTGAACAACATCTTGTCTCCACCCTACCTAACATGTTCTTCCAGATCATTCCTTTCTGAGAAAACCCATCGTTTCATTCCCCTCAGCTCTTCCCATCTCATCTCACTGCCCTGGTTCTGTCTAGACTAGGAAAGGAGGGAAGGTGAGCACACAGACCTCTCACGAAGCCATCCACCCCAGCCAGTTCGAGCTGCATTCATGGCAGCATCTTAATGTTAGATGTCATTAGATGGGACATTTCAAGTCATTATAGCTTACTGGAATTATCTAACTCTATTTTCCAAGAACTTTTTTCTTTTTCCTGGTCTAGACAGACTCTCTGTTTAGATTGCCAGCGTTTACAGGTGTGTATGGGTGCATGTGTACCTATGTGTGTACATATGCATATGCACACACATAAGTTGGTAGGGATGCGTGTGTATCCTGTGTATGTTTGTATATATATGGATATATATGGGTATATACATATATAATGTGTGTATAGCCACACATATTCATGCATGCAAACATACCTTTGTAACATAGTACTTGTGTATGATGATAAAATGCTTTGTCTATAATGGGCTGCAGAATTTGAAATTAAGGTCAGCTCTATCTGATTTCTTAATTTTCTGAGATCTCCTCTTTTTCTCTAGGGAGTTTTATATTCCTAATTATGCCAATGTTTCAGTCCTTAATTTCCTTGAGTACTGTGTGTGAGAGATATCTTCCACCCATTTTTAAAGAACTGTTAACAACAACAAAACATGAGTGATATGAGTATGTAATTCTTTCTCAGGTGTATGCACTATTTTATTTTCTTCTGTTTCCTAAAGCTTTGCCCGCTTGGCTTATGAGCTTCTTCAAAGAGGACTAGAGATCCCTACACAATATATCAGGTACAGAGAAAAAAAATCCACAATTCTGATATTCTGATACTTTTCTTTCCTTTTTTTTTTTTTTTTTCCCAATCAAAGCCAGTTGTTTCTGAATTCTGTAGGTGTACTTCTTTAAAGAAGCTCAAAGGGAATAATTTGAATGAGATAAAAAAATAAGTTGAAATCAAGGTGTAATATCACAAAGAAAATAAGAGCTGTGTCAAATGTTACTACGTTTTCTTGGCATTAGGATTTTGCACCAAGGGAGGAAAGGGTTGCCATGTGAGCTGGCTCCTCGTGATGGGAGTGGGGAGGGCTTGCCAGGGAATATCCTGATTTCTGAGCTCAGTCTGAGAAAATCTGTTTCTCTTAGAAAGCTTAAAAAAAAAAAAAGTCTTGTGACTCTTGCTTTAGAACAAGTTGGTGTGGTAGGGGGAAAAAAATTTCTTACTGACAGTGTTTTTCTTGGTGGTTTGGTGTCTGACAGGATGTCTTATGCATATGATTGGGGGGTAGAGGGGGAGTCTGATTTCTTCCCCCCCCCCCCTTTTTTTTTTTAACATACATTTCTTTGTCTCCTATGGTAAAAATGATGCTGAAGTGTAAGGATCTGAATTTCTGTTTGGATTCCGCCACACTGGGTAATTGCATATGTGTTTCTCAGTGGGGTAGGGTTCGTGCACTAACACATCTTTTTGCTTATGTCAGAACAGTTACTAGGTATGGGTAAATATCCTGGAGTTTCTGGCAAAATTCCAGTGGGGTCAGACCTCCTCCTAGGATCCATGTTAAAGCTTCAGGAATCAATCCCACCATCCCAAGCAGGCACACCTGAACTCAAAACAAGACAGAGAAACAAAAGGGAAGCCTTAGCCTTGTTTTAGGTTCTAGATACCTTCCAAAGTGGATGGTGGCGGACAAATAATTCAGCAATACTCTCAACATCCCCCAACAATATTTTCTTAAAACAAAAAGGCAAATGAGCCTTTTGATTGACACTCTCAGTATCCTTAGCTACCTGAGAAATGACTACAGCTGAGGGCCTGCTCTGCTTTTCAAATCTTTGTGCAGCAAGCGAAGGTCTCTTGGCTCTTGTTCCCTACCTGTGAGTTGGACACACATGTGGCAATAGAAACTCAGGAATCCTCCAGGCTCCATGAGCACTAACCCCTTTGGAGCTGCTCCTCATTCATGTATTTTTTGTTCTTCTGGGGCAGAGTGCTGTGGGGAATCTCATGTGACAAAAGGGGGAAACTGAGGAAAACAGCCTTCTCCATGGGCTGCTGGATGAGCTGGAGGTAGTCTTCAACCCTAGCAAGTCCATGGCAGTGGGTTTCACATCTGGCATGTCCCTGTGGATGTCACTGAGTAAAGTGTAGATCCCTGAATGATGTAGAACTCATGGATCCCACACTGGTAGTTTGGGGATGCCAAGACTGAAAAGCTGCTCCCAGGCAGTCTCTGGTCCTCCAAAGCCTACCCGTTGCCAATCACACACAGTTTCAGCAGGATCCTGTGGAAGGACAATCCAAGCTGTCATGCAGAGAATGCCTCAGCATGGATGTGCTGGAAAGGAAAGGGGTATATACATGTGTGTGTATCTGGGGAGAAATGAATGGCACCACCTGAGAGCACATCTCCCTTCTCTACCCAACTGGAATATTCTGTTTAATGAAACAGAGCAGAAAGCGTTGAATGTTGCTTTGCCTGCTCTCTGCAAAAACCTTTGTGAGGAGCACATGGGTCCAGGCACCCCAGTGGGGTATCTGGGGGTGAGGAGACCTCAGGTTATCTCTCAGCCTTCTGCCTTCCCAGCTGTACATGCAGGGACCTGGGGACCTGCTCCATCTCAACCCAGATCTTCCAGCTGAAAGCTTTGGCAGTGAGGTTGGGAATGGTCCTTCGTTATCTTTTGGGTGGATGTTGGGGATGCTCCTTTTAACTGCAGAAGACAGTATCCCACCACCACTGTGGGTTAATGAGAAGAGGTACTCACTTGCAACTTCTTGCGGAAAGATCTACACATGCATGTGTGAGGGCCTGATAACGCTGCTTAAATCTACCTTAGACACAGGTTGGTCACCTGCACCAGGACCTAAACCTTGAGAAGGCTGAGGGAAGAGTTTCACTTGACTCCTGGCAACTTTGGATCTGCCCTTTGTGCCTTCTAAACACCATTCCAATTGCCAGACTGTGCTTTGCTCAGGTGACATAAAGCCAAATGTAAAATCCCCATTTATTTCAATGGGATATCCATGACTTGTCCCTCAGAGTATGCAGAGAAAACCCCACAAGGCTTCTGATTTAAATGCAAACAGAAAGAAAACATGGCATAGGAGTGTATCCATCTCTGTCTTCCCCCCAGCCTAGTGCTGGTCCCTGAAGGAATTGCCCATTACTCAGTGGCTCCTACCACTTCGAGGGGATTGAGGTCCCCTCAAAATAAAACTCAGACTCCCACTGGAAAGCATTTTCCTGCTCCCCTCCACTTTCCCAGCCCGACTACTTGTTGGTCTAGGCACCTCAGACGTTTATCTGGTAACTGAGTTATTAAAAGATTTGGTTTCCTTGGGATCATAAATCAATAAACAGGAGGATTAACATGGCAGCTTTGCTATTTAACTCAAGGGAAAAGTTTGAGGAGAGACGGCAAAAAGTTTGGTTTTAAACTAAACAGGTGGGTTACTGTAAATTTTATTTCATTCTTAGTTTTTTTTTTTTTTTAAATAACAATTCTCTGCTTTCTGTTGGAAAGGTCTTTGTTTTTGTATGCTCCCTGACTTTTTTTTTTTTTTTTTTTTTTTATTCCCCTGGTTGGTATTCACACAAGATGTGAAGGAAACAAGAAGCCAATTTTATGGAAATCCTTTTACAACCCGATAATTTCTTTAAGATTGGGTTGTGTCTTGTCCCACCTAATAGAAATTCTCTGTGAGAAGCTGTTTTAAGTCCCTTTGCATCCCAAACCTACCTCTCCCCAAAATCCCTACATTTGCGTTTGCGATTGGGAGGGAGGGGGGGGGAAGGATGGTTTTAAGACCTTTAGCTATGCCCAAAGGGCTTATTGACTTCCCCTGCTCATCCCTTTCTGACCAGTTTGTCACGCAGACTTATTTGGCTCTGTTTTAACATGTTTCTTGGAGAATTTGATGCTCATTTCAGCTGCCACAAGCATTGCCAGATTGATCCGGCCAAACTCCTGCTCCCCTGCAGCTTCCCTGTATGTGAGAGGCTGTAGGCTTTTTACAAATAGTATATTTTCTTACACAAAGGGAAAAAGTAAAAGCATATATCCCCAAACACACTGGAAAATGCCTGAACATTTTGAGAGAGATGAAACATTGTGTGCTAGAAAGAAATAAAGGGAAAAAAACCAACCCAACAAACCCAAACTGAAAAACAGAGTGAGAAACTGGAAAGATAAAAGAAAAAACTAATAATTCTCCTTTTATGCCCCAAATGATCCCTCTCACCTCCTCTTCTTGAAAAATCTGACCATGCAGTGAGAAATATCAGTTTATCGACTCTTCCTGAGAAGAAATGTGGAGAGGCATTCAGTATTGAGTTTGTATATATTTATTTATGCTTAATTTAATGGGAATGTGTAAATATGGCGAGCAAGTAGTTTTTGGGTTATTTATCTGTGAATCTATACCTCTGTGAATGGGTGGGGGAATTTAAAACAAAAAGTAAAATAAGTAATTAAAAAAACAAACAAAAAAGAAAAAAACAAAACCAACAAAAAAAAAAATCCCGCTTGACTAGATAGTATCCTATCTGAATCTTTTCTGTTCTTTATAGACAAGCTGTTATGGTAATGGGTAGAAATTGGTTTCTTGTCCAGTGATGACCTGATTTACATAAATAATAAGAATAAGAATAAAAGAAAAAGAGATTGTTGTGTTTTGTTGTATTTTCCTCTTCAGTTTTTTTGAATGTTGGTGCTGCTTCGATTCTGCAGACTGATTTACTTATAACATCAAGAAGTCTTTATTTTCCCAATCTAGGCTTTGGGGAAATTCAGGACATGTCTCTACATTAAAAAAAAAAAAAGAGAGAAAAAAAGAAGACAAAAAAAAAAAAAAAAAGAAAAGAAAAATAAATATTGCTTCTCAGAAATGTGGGTATTTTATTTCTGTCTGACTCAAAAGTGTCCATACTTTTACCACTCTTACCTCTTCATTCTAAGCAGACCTACAATAAACCTCATGTCATGTTAATGTGAACTTTTGTTTCATTTTGCTTTTACCAGCTGAATTAGGATTAAATCTTTTTCTTTTCAAAATATTAGACATTAAAAGAACATTTTCTGTAAGATTTCAATTAGGAAACTCTCCCCCTCTCCCTCTTTCCCCTCCTGTGTTACTGTACTTTTCATTTATGTATATGTGGATGTATATATATATACATATATATACTCTTACATATATACTCTTATATACGGATTGACAGTGATGTTCATATTCACAATGCAGGATTATTTTCTACCTTAGTTCTACAGCCGCAGCATCAGTAATTAGCAAAAGGAAATATTCAACCCCAAACACCTTCTTCTTCCAACTCCCTTGCTCTCCCCTTACTCTCCATTCCATTCCCAAATCGGTTTTGTCTCGGTTTGTAATGGATGCTCCCGAAGAAGAGCTGCTTCTTCGGGATCCGAATCCCCAGGGCTGACCTGGAGCCATTCCAGAGTGACTCGGGATTTATCCTGCTGTTGGATGTAGGAAGAGGGGGGCAGATTAGGGCCTCAGGATTTATATTGTCAGTGTTCTCATATATATTTTATGTGTCTTATATGCTACATATTACTATGTATAACAGAGAATAGATTATACATAAGATTTACTATATAATCTACATCATATTGTATATTATTATACACAATATT